GAAACCCTGCACCTTCTTATATACCCCATATACCGGTAGAACCTTCTCTGTAGTAGAGTAGTAGAGTTACTCCAAACCCCTATTCCAATGAAAGAAGCCCAGTGCATGATGTCCTTCATCCACCGTTCCCTGGTATCGCCTTACGATTCCCAACTTTGGTGCTTGGCAAGTGCAGGATGATGTGGTGGGCTTTGAAGACAAGCTGGCGCAGGAGACTTTGGTAGGAATCATGGGGATCATGCAGAGGTTGTACTGGCATCTCTGCATATCTCCAAGCCGGCGTCCCGTTGTCACTCAAAATCTACAAGCCGTTTGTATGAGGCTCCCCAAGCGGGACCATTTATTTCGCAAATGTACCTGTAAGGGTTGATAGTATAGGAAATGTACGCAGGGTACCTGGCATACATAGACATAGTACAGACTGTGCAAGGAGATCAATCATCATATACTATGGTACATACCATAGTATATACTATAGTATAGTATACAATAGTATACTATAATATACTATAGTGTACTATAATATACTATAGTATACTATAGTACATAGGTTGCTCCTGGCAGCGTAGCTGAGCTCGGCTGTGCACGGAGAGGCCCTGTGGCTGCTAAGTCCAGGACGCGTCGCTGCTAGACGGAGCGCAGGTGAATCGAGGGGACAAGTTCCTGCCGCTTGGTTTAGGATTTAGGGTTTAAGGTTTAGGATTTAGGGTTTAGGATTTAAGGTTCCTGCCGCTTCTTTGCAGTTCGATTCTGCCCTGGGCGTGGTTTCTCAAAAGCAAAGCATAGGGGAGCAGCTAGTTCATGACTTGGAGCAGAAGAGTGCTAAGCAATGTCTACAGTCATGGTGTTCATCTCAATCCATGAGTCATGCAATCATGTAGCTAGTGCCGATCAAGACGACAGCACAATGTTTGTTTAGGGCTGTGCTGTGGAGCTCTGTCATACATGGACTCAGTGGAGGCCCTCGTGCTTCATGCAATAGCATACACGTATGTGGAGGTCGAACATCCAGATTCAATCGGTAGAAATTCTGCAGCAAATGCCTGATCGGTCCTACCGGCTATCCCTGATGAAGCCATTACACCCCATCATATCCCTGTATGCCCCAGTTGTCTCCTCTCGAATAACTTTCCTTTTCAGTCTCCCCGCCCACCCAGCCTGTCTCAGAACGCTGCTCAAAGGCACAACGCTGCCCAGGAGGTCACTTGGCGCTGAGTGCTAGCAATAAGTGCCATGAAGATTCTGATGATTTATGACAAGGCTCTCCATGTAGTACTGGACTCCCAAGTGGATTGAAATTGTCTATGTGCGTGATTTCAGGCTCAGGTCTAGAGCGGCCTTTCGGTATATTATGTATGTTCGAAGTCACTGCCTAGTACGAGATAAGCCGCAGTCTTGTTTCCTCATCCGCACAGTGGGCGCACAGACAAATAAAACTAGACCAGCATGAACCGCTGTAGACCGTGTTTTTCGTAGTTGCGGTGATATGTTCGAGGAGCAGTCAATCAGAGCCGGATTGGTCACTCTCCGCTGGCTAAGTGCCTTATCCATAGTTGGAATCTGATCACGTCCCAAGCTTCAGTCAGAGTGGCTGCCAAACGCGGCTTGCATGCCCCAGTTGTGGCGCATTCTGGTGAGGAGTCTCCGGTATCTATGTCCGGCAAGAGTTTTTGCTGCCACCCGGACCCGCTGTTGTTGGGCATAGCCAAGCCGCTTATCAGATGTGTGGATTTCCTACAATCATGAGTGCCTTTTTAGGTGGTCCCCATAATACGGATTATAATATGTTAGGGGTTATTTTTGGGGTCCCCCTCTTTTTTTGAAACTATCAGATGTCACGAAGCATTGGGCAACCCGCGTTGACCTCGCAGTCTCTCAGGCCGTCGCAGTCGCCAGCGCCTGAGCATTATTGCAAACATGAAGTGCCAATTTTGCAGATGTTGTTTAGGGAAACTGTGCATGCTTCAAGCCAATACTGCTTGAGAAACCTGAATGATCAAACAGGTTCTCTCCTTGCTGTTGTTTGGTTGTAGCATGTCGTAGCATTACATGATCCAATCCCTAGCCCAAACATTCGACAGTCTGCCTTGCATGAGGAACTCCGCGCCCAGAACCAGCCAAGTTGCAGGGATAACAACTCAAAGCTCCGAAGTTGACTCCAGCTGCTTCTGCCCAGTAGGTAACCCTTTCAGCATCTGGTGCTACGTAGGGACGTAGGGATGTCAGCCATTGTTAAGGCAAGGACGGTTCTTAATGCAGAGAATGAATTCCCGCCCCAACCCTGGACCTAAACTATATCCTCAAGCTTGTCCAGCTCTCAGCGTAAGAAATGGTTTGGAAAGGAAACATGGGCATCCGTCTTTTGAACGGCTTCCTCGGGACCGGCATATTATTTCCAAACGTACGAGACACCTTTGCCCCCTCACAAGCAGCGTCGCCCCGTTGATGCCAACATGTGGTACTTGATTTTCGATTCTGCCAGGGGGCCCTGCTTTGTTGATGAGTTCCTGACATGTCCAGCAGAGAGCCCCATGCTTGGCCTTGAGTACCTAGTGTCACTAGCAGCGAGCACCACGCCAGACCCATACATGCCTTCACACCAGCCCAGCCCAAGTCAGCAAGTAGTTGGCCCGAAGGTTTGCGACGTCAAGGTGCAGCCTCCGCTCTGTAGAGTTCCTCTGCCGTCCTGACGTTGTTTTTCGCTGCATGCGTGCTGAGGGTTTGGGCCTTTCAGGATCCTGGTTCCATTATCTGGGCCTCTTGTTACATCCAGCGCTAAAGCGGAATATCTGCAGAACCTTCTCTGCGCCAAAGTGTTCTAGCAACCCAGTAGCTGATTCCTTCCTTCTGTGAGACATGAAAGTCAAGGGGCTCTTCACCGTAAGGATTATTCACATCGGAACTGACTCATACCGGTGTCAGGTCCGCCTCTAGTGAGCGAGCTGCCTGGGAGTTTGTGAAGAAGCAGACCGTCGCCCGCGTGGTGCGCTCCTTACACAGGAGGTTCTGGAAGCTAGCTGAATCCACTTGGTTGAGGCGTACCCCAAATGCTCGAGTATCCTTAAGGCTTTGTAATAGTGCTTCTTGTTTTGGAGCCGCGAAGTATTCCCCCACCTGAAAGACATCACTTGTATAGTTCGGTCGGTTTGTGGCCTAGAGATTCAATCCAGTGAGTAGGAACATGTTCACAGTTGAAGGCTGCTTTAGCCCTGCTACACCATGACATGGAAGGACTTGCTGAGAAGCCGCTTGAGTACATGGATGGTTCTTGCTTTTGCAAAAGTAGGAAACACCGCCCATGAACCAGCAAGGAAGTAAAGGGGGGGAGCTCTGCTAACCAAGACGTCCCCGAATGGATCATGTTCAACCTGCCCAGGCGCAGCACGTGGGTTCCATCTCTGAGGAAACGCGGTCTGGAAAAAGGGTCTTTCTCGAGCCAGCGTCCCTGGTTCATAGAGGAATGGAAGATGCTAGGACCTCTACAGTTTGAGAGGCCCCTGGAGCAAGAGTCGCCATGCTTTAACTCGAGAACCCCATATACCAGTCAAGGGGTTCCTTGATTAAAATGTGAAGTCTTGCGCTTGCACCAGAAGCAGCAGGACGACAGACTCCTAGCTGAAGACGATAGCGACTCGGCATTGAACGAATCTCACATCCGATGCGGAATTGTTGGTAAGATGGCTTAGATGGATTAGAAATAGCTTCGATAATCATCTTGATAGCACATATAGTACATACCAAACAGGGGGGTCAGCCTACAGAAAGAAGAGAAGGAGAGATTTGATGGGAAGCTTGGTGAGGGTGGTATTCAGAGTGGCAGCAGATGTGCTTTATTTCAAGCAGAAGTAGCACAAGGACGGAGCAGCAGCAGCAGCAGCAGCGATCAAGTTGGCTTCACGCCCTGGTAGTCCAGTTCGCTGGGATCACATCCCAACAATTGCTGTTGCTCATCATACGGAGTCATACTGTTGGGAATTCACTTGAGGCCAATGTCTTCTTCAGGGGCTTTTTCGATGGAAAAACCCGCTGTTCTAACAACCTGCACCAGCTTACGAGGTAAGAACGCCTTCAGCATCAATCAGCGCTGGAAGCCTGGATTGGTAGCCATGCGTTAAAATCCTTGGTACTTACCTGGAAGGTGCGCCTAACATGCGTAAGGTACAAGACTGACTTCCTTGTCCTAGGGTTTTTGTTGTGGAATTCTGTCTCGTGCTGCCTGAACTTAGCGATACTGAGAGAGTTCTTGGCAAGAACTCAGCCAGCTATTGGTGATTCTTGTTTTTGTATTCGGAAGCTGACCTGTCCAGCAGTCATGGAAGGTAACCACATTTCTGAGTGGTTCTTGCTTTGCTTTGTTCCGACTCTCCTGGTCGCTGGCTTGTGCCACAGAAGCTGATATGTTCTCATGGTCAGGCCCAGCTCGTTACAGCCTGTCCTATGTGGGTCATATGCCTGAGAGATTTGATGAGTTTGCTACTCCCCCAACGCCATGTACGACTGCAACCCAGGGGGCAGGTGTCGAGGTGGCGATTTCAAAAGCACAGTCGGGTGGGTGGACAAGCACAAGCCGTCACAGCAGTCCACTACTGGTAGCCGTACTGCTTCAGCTTCATACGGTCGTATTATGGAGAACTCAAACCTGTGTGGCGCTTCTTCTTGAGCCGTAGGGGTGCCAAGGCCACGCCGTCATCGTGCGACGAGAGGAGTCCTTGCAGATAATATCCTTCCTCCCTATGAAGCGTTGAGGATGTGGGGCTCAGTGCAAGTTGATGTCACTTTAGGTAGGGGCGGCATTTGGAGTGATGCATGGAGTTTCGCTCAACAAGTTTTCCTTTTTGGGTCGTCTTCAACCTTTGCAATATAGCACTTCTTGTGGGGGCCGGGGGGGGGCATTTGCTTTCAAAACAGAAGCATGGGAGCCAGGTAGATTCTTCGATTCAAGCACAGCCGCTAGTCAGGCACACTCGATGTTGCTTAGCTTTGCGCATAAGAGTGGCCAGGAGAAGATGGTTCTACGGAGTTGGTGCAACGTTGTTGTGCGAATGGTTGCCTTCCTGCAAACGTGGCCGTCTCAGCTACGTCTGAGCTGCAAGCTTTTTTGCCTGACAAACTACCTCTAATCTGCATCCTTTAAGGCTGCAATCTGTGTGTGATTCTTTGTCCACTTCATATTAGTGCTCTGCTTCAGGCACAGGCGGATCACCTATGCAAAGCACCCAGACGCACATTCTGCGGCAGAAACATCCCCACGCCACCCTCAAGGCAGAAGGCTACCAGGAAGCCCAATCTCAGACTTCACATCCCAAGATCACGTCTGACATCAGAAGCCCCCTTGGGCAGTTCGCGCTTAATTTCTGCAGAACATGTTTCAAAGCAGTTCTCTGCATTGGGGAGCTCTTCCAAGGCCCCAGGCGGAGGAAGCTATGGCAACCATCAAACTGCCCGAGGATCAGGCGAGGGTGCATGTGAGCATGGTGGATTTTATGGTGGCCCAGTCTAGGCATCCTGATACAACGCAGGCTTTGCTTTTTTCGGCGTGCCAGGTCCTCGAAAACGACGAGCCGCGCCAGCGGCCTCGGTACTGGGCTGCAGCCTCAGGATGTTATTTCTAGAGGTCCTTGATATGAAATGTCGCGTGTTCGTCTTCCATGCCGCGTAGACACCAGCAGACTGTTCCAACTGTAAAGCAAGAGTGTAGTAGCTGCCGAGCATTGTGATTTCACCTATGCTTGGGACAGACTGCGCAGGAGCGTCTTCTAGCAGCTCATGACCCCAAGCATGTGGAGGCCAAGTGGTTGATCGATTCAGTGCTCATCTTCGGGAAGCTGAGGGTTCCACGATGTTCTCGTCGTAGAATTCCCCTTCTGCCGTGGCTGTTGACTTTGCATCTCAAGGCCAAAACATGCGTATTCTTAGTGGATCGAGTTTCTAGGAGAACTGTGCCCCAACTCCACAGCCTTTCCTGCTCAGTACTGGTCCTCTTGCAGTGGGGGGTCTTATGGGATGATAGGAACCCGATGCCGCACTTTACTGCTCATGTTTTTGCGACAGGCGGAGTGTGTATCCTTGAGCTGATGTCCCGCCCGTGCTTTTGATTTAGCTGAGCTTGCAGCCGACAGCCACAAGAGCTACAGCCTGCTTAGGGCTTCAGGTCTTTCTGCATCCCCACAGTGCTCTTGAATTTTGAAGTTTGAAAGGTTTCTTCGGGTGAGGTATCCCTATCTTAGTGGTGCGCTTGGCTGCCTTAGAGAGGAGCGAAAAGCCTTCTAACTGCATCGACGAGGTGAGTCATGCTGAGGTTGGCATCTATAGCTATCAGCACGGATCCACAGGAACTTCTGGTAATTTAGTCCCTGGAAAGCCCTCACCTATCAGCTATCTGTGGCGTAACACACAGGTAGGAACGGCCTGACTGCTGGGCTTTTGGACGCATTATCTTCGTTCCGGGCCTGGGAGCGTTGTCCGGCCGTTAGCACGCAAAGGGTCAAGTCCAGAAACGTCTTTGAATCAGATGAAGGAGGGATTTAACCGTGATTCGAAAAATCAAAGTAGCTATCAACAAGTCAAAAGCTTGACCGCGCCTGTCAGGGTTAACCTAATCGTACAGCAACATTTTAGACGTGATGCTGCCTGTGTGCTCGGATAGATGTCGCTCGGTCAATCGCCAGTCCAGGCTGGCAGTCTTTGGTCAGCCTCTCGACAGGCACGGAGTTCAAGAGATTTAGAATGAATACAGCCGGCAAAACTCCCAGGCCCACGACTGCACGTGCTCCACTTCTGTCGGAGCTGGTGCTTCGTGCGGTAGGTTGATGGCGGAACGCCAAGTTTTCAGACGAGGTCTCAGACATCTTTGGCAGCTTCATCTTAGGACTCCCGGAAGGTATCTGTCGGGCAAGAAGACAGTGAAAACCGCGTTTTTAATAATCGACCGTGCTCTTGTCAGGCCCAAGAATTGGTACCTAGGCGACGTCATGTTCAGGGCTGCGTGATGTTCCAGGTTCAAACTAACGATGCAAGAATTTGATTACAGAACCTTTCCTCGGTCTTGGTCCAAAATGGCAGGTATGATCACAATATATCCTACCCGGGACAAAAGCCAGCAGAATTTCCTGCCACGATGTCAGCAGCTTTCTTTGTGTCTCAGCCGCAGCAGCCAAGTGGATCCCGCAAAATTTGGAGAAGATTCTGGGTACCACAAGCGATTCGCAGCGAGGCGTGCAACAAGCGCAGGCATAGAGCCGGCCGGATGGGCCAGAAAGTCATATACTTGCAAGCAGTTCCTTGCTTCAGCAACCCGACCGGATGGGCCAGAAAGTCCTTGGTCAGCAGCTGGAAATGGAGAAAGAACAAGGTGTATCCGCGGAGATCCTGCGTAGAAGACGGACGATTTCCCACGCTTTCCAGCGAGGAATGACAGCGCCAAGTTTGAACCAGGCGCTGACAGAAGTCTGGGTTGCTGAGAGAGGGACCATCAAACTGTTTGCTCAACATGCAAAATGTCTAGTCATACTTCTTGTCATATCGCCTTTTCAAGCGCCCTCCGACATCCTGATGCAAAACATGGCAGTATCAACAACCCTGTTTCAAGATACATCGCTACGTCAGGTGTATCCGTGTATCCAAGACACTGAAGTAGCGCTGACACTATTCTGGAAGCACTTCGCTCTTCAAGAATTTCTTCACGGATAAACATTACACTAGTCGTAAGATGGACACAACAGCAAAACAATGCACAATCAACTGCAACAGCCCGGGAAGAAGAAGAGTCTTCCCCCTGGGACACTTCGACCTCATCAGCAACCCAGCGATGTGGCTCGCCCCTTCCGTCCACCGGTTTTGTTCCCAAAGAGCCTCGGGGCTCGGGAGGAAGCGAGAGTATCCGCAGGTAGAGTTATGGGGTTCAGGTTGGGTCTGGCGCTTGCCCATGATTAAATTGAACAGTATAGTGTTTGAATAATACTAGACGAGGATACGTAGAAAGTTCTCCACAATTCTCTATACGATTCAGGCGGCGTTGCTGCCTCCCACACGCCAGCGCATGTCCAGACTGAAAGCCTCATGCAAAGAGTAGATTTAGTTGAAAGAGCCAAGGGATCACAGAAACACGCAGGCAAGGTCGGAGTCGTGAGGAGCAAGAACCCTACGTGATACGATTCATGCCCGTCCGCTGCTGCTGAAGATCCATTCGCTTCGCAAGACCCTGCCGAAACCCATATTAGTCATTCGTTGGCTTGCGCCACGCATTATGCCTTCGCTCTTGCGGGCACGAAAAAAGGCGAAAACAGTCTTGTGGATGGCAAGCCGCGGCGGTGCTGCCGGAGACTATGCAGGCGATGGTACTGACACCATTTCGTATAGGGATGCATCTTCGCAGGCTTTGGTGAACCCAATTCCTGCAGGGCGTTGGGATCATCCTGCGCTGTTACCTATTAGTTGTCAACCCTAAAGCCAGGACCTGAAACGGAAGCCTCATGCGCCATGCAAGAGGCAAAACAATCCAGTGTTGTTGCCCAACTGAATTTAGCCCTATTCTTGGCACGCTTTGCTTCTTTGACACATGTGAGTGATGCTGGCAGTGTGGCTCAGAAGGCAAAGGCCAAAAGATCTTTTGAACCAGCCAAAGGCCCCTCCCTTTGTGGGGGCCAAGGAACCTGGTCACCATGAGCGGCGGTCCACACATGACCATGGAGCAGGCCGGCCACAACAGTGACAGTATCTGACAGTAGTACTTCTATGTAGCTCAACCATACAACATCGGTAGCAGTCAACACTAATTACAGCACGGTAATTAATAATCATGGTAGCATGTACTGCAGAGTTCTGTTACAGAAGGAGTCTCAAGGCATTCTGGGTCCAAGGTGCGAGCTTGAGCACAAGCTCAAGCTGTTGTTACGGGGTACACCAAGGGGGGCCACTTTTGAAAGGCCTATATCTAGATTCTCATTTGAACTGGGGACGCTTGAGATGCATTGGTTGCAGACAGAATCGCTGCGTCCGGAAATGCAGCAACGTTTCCAAGTAATGCAGGTTTCCGTGCAGCCTGCGCAGCTTAGCTTGGGCAACTCGGATAGCTCTGCCCCGCCCGTGCTTCACCCCATGAAGCTCCATACCAACAAAACCACCTGCGGCTGTGCTCACTCCTTCGCCGGGCCCTCCATACCCTGGAGGTGGTGCGCACCTTCAAGCCCTGCAAGCTCTACGATGGCGTCAACGAGAAAATTGTTTCCGTAGAGGTCGATGGGGCCCCTTGGCCAACTCCAGTAGCAGCGTGGTTCAAGAACCTGTCAGCTTCGATTTATTCAGTGATCAGAGTAGGACATGCTACGACTGCTCCAGTTTTGGCTACATGGTATATCAAATTGCTCATGCGTGTGGGAGTGCTGTTTGTCATGGCCTTCATGCACCACTTTTCACCTTCATGAAAGTGCCACCGTCATGCAACTCATGCCACAGCCTGGAGTTCAGGAGATGGAGGAGGTGGAGATCGACCCCCAAGAGGTGGGGCCTTCTAATACATAGGAAGTTCTCATGTTCTCCCATTATCTTAAATTCAGTATTACTGTGATCCATTCCATCTCATTCTCATGGATTTATGAGGCGGCCCCAAGTTTAAGAAATCCCGGGATGCTGTGCGTTGCTGGACTCTGAGTTCCTCAACAAGAGTGTTCCCACATATCCCGAGTCTCAACCTGTTCGGAGCCCCAAACGAAGAGGCGCAGTGTTTGAGTTGGCTCCATATATATATATATATTATATCTATATATGTATATGCCAAGTCCCAAGCCATTTAGAGCTGTGAAGAAGGGCAGATTGTCTCAATGCGTTCCCATGTGTATATATGATGGAAGCATACATATCTTCAGTCCCAAGTGCATTTCCTACTCAATGCACGCGTGTGTCAGCTATCACGATTGACAGCTGGCGGAAGATAATGACAGCTGCAGTTGAAGCTGAATAGGAGTAGTAGATAATTCTGGGGATCCTGAGGTAGCGTGGTTGGGGAAATTGTGGGGTTTACTGCAGTGTGCGAGAGAACCATCTCCCCAACACATTTTCTCAGCCTTTGTGTCCTGATTCTTATGTGAATTGTCTCTCAAGTCTAAATGCAAAGCTGAGCTGTCTTCAGTTCCCCGCAAAATGACGACCGTTGCCCTACAGGCCAAGGAGTTTCTGGCAAATGCTGGAGCCAAGTCTGCTCAATGGGGACCTTCCTGGATAATTCTCGTTCCTGTTTGTGCCGCCCTGAGGGGCCGAAGATCTTGAAGCCGGATGGCACGGGGCCCGGACCCAACGACTTCCACAAGCTGCCCCGCGTGTGCCACTTGGTGTTGTCTTATCTAGAGGGGAAGAAGGAGTACTGAGTAGCAGCACCAGCACTAGTTGTCGTTCTTGGTCATGGCGCGGCTGTCGTCCGTGGACTCTCCAGAAGGACGAACAATTGCAGAAGCCGCTCTGTTGATCTATACCCGCTGTTCACGGAAGCACCTACAGAAAGCATGCGCACATAAGTGCACTTCCTGGCTTCGCACGCTTCGCCTCACCACCCTTGCCTAGCCTATACCGATCGCCTGACACTTTGCTACGTGCAGAGCCTTACAGTTCCAGGGATTGGGATGCATGATCTTTGGGTGAGCCAGCAATAGCCATCATTCAAGCGGTAGCAAGTACCCTTCGTGGCTTGGCTGCATGTGTGTGGTTCCAGCCGCCGTGCTTGCAAGGATGTCAACCAGCTGAGGCCGGTCTCACCTTGACATGTCCGCGGCGAACGGCTTGAGCAAGGCCTGCGAAGACACGAGATGCAGTAGGTTTGCTACAAAAGTAAGGCGCATGGTGTAGCCGTCACACAGCCTGTAGCATGAGCCATAGGATCCCAAACTCACGGTCCTTTGCTGTGTTTCACCTTGGCTTGGGAGACGAGAGAAGCCCTTACACATCAGTAACAGAAAGTGCTAATGCTGAAGAAGCCTTGTCATGTTTTGGTGCGTTCGGCATTGCTGAGCAGCCCGGTGATGATGGTTCTGGGGGGTGTCGCAGTTTGTATGCAGCCTGTGGGAAACGTCATGATTCATCATACAAGACTACTTCAGAGATATCATGATTCGGATCATCTATTTAAATCATTTGGACTAGGGGCTGAGCTGCAGCAACGGTTCTGAGTGCAAACCTGCAGTGTCCAGGGCTGGATCTTCTACACTTCCACTGAGCGCAAAATGTGCGTTTTGCAGGCAGCCAAAATCAATAAGCAGCGAAGAGCACTTGCCGCTCAACGTAGCGTGGAATAGGTGCATGGCTGATGATTTACCAGCATTCTTTCTGTTTACTGGAATCCCAAAGTCAAGACCACCCAGATAGAATTGTGATGGGAGAGGTAAACTTGACAGACAGCATGGTGACCCCAAAATGGTCAGTCTGATAAGGCAACATACAGCAGCATGTCTTCACCTGCAGGTGGTGCAACCTGCTTTCCTTTCTCACTCTCACTCTCGGCATGACTCGTGCCGACAGCCAAAAAGAACATAAGGGTTTTACAAAGCCTCTTGTGCGGTCCAGGTTAATCCAGCCTCATTATTTGGGTCCCAGCCCTAACAAAGCTGGTTCAATCGACGTGTGGACCAGCAAGTGTCTAGCATTCAGGAAATTATGCCTTGGCATCCGATTCTTCTCAGAGGCCTGCACTCGCGCACACACTGCGTTTGTCCTTGGACTTGCTTGCAGGGCATACCTGCCATGCCCAATCGTGCTGGCACCAGAATCTCTTGAACTTCTGCGCAGACTCTCACGGATGCCTGAGCACCTCTTCCAGCAAGCTTTCTGACAAGCATCAGCCACATTTCACAGCAGCCGTAGCTTTCTGCCTTCCCACTGCCCCAAGCCCTTAGCTTTCTTACTGCAGTCTTATGATCTGTTGTGCGCTCGTTCATGTTGCCATCTTGCCGGAGACCCTGAGAAATCAGTTGCTTCCTTGAGAATCGTGTTCACTCGCCATGCTGCATGGAGCCTCCATGCAAACGTCAGCGCTCTGCCAGCGAGCAACTTGATGAAGGCCCAGGCGCAACTGATCTAAGAAGGCAAGTCCCGTCTTATTCTACTTCATGAACCATTTGCCCCCGTCGCTGCTGGGGCTTGGTCAATGATGTTATTACTAAGTTATTATAGAATTCGCCATGATTGTATGAGATTTACTGGTATGTAACCTAGAACCATTTTATAGTTTCCAGTTATTTACATAGCCTGCTCTTACATGCAGAGCCTCCGAGATAAGAAGCCCTTCAAATGTGTCTTTTGTGGGCAGGAGGTCAGCAGAACACGCCCTCCAACCTCTCCGGCGATGTGCGAAGGCAAGTGGTAAGTTGGTACATCAGACATGACAGGATGATGGTTGTGTTGGCTGTCACAAGATTGGGACCCAAGCAGTCAAGCTTTGTTTAAACAGCGATCTTCATGTCTCAATTTTGGCATACAGCAGAGCAGTTGAAATCAAGACGCCTTGGCCGTTGCAAACCCAACGCAGCTCTTTGTTTCCAGGCTCCTGGACCTTCCCTGCGGAATGCCCTACAGTTTGGACAATCAGTTATTGTGGCGTTGAAGCAATCCCAAGTATGACGTGCTACGGTACAACGAGGAATCCATCCAGAGTCCTTCCTGCAATCCTGGTCTAGCCCCTTCACCCCGCGCTTGATCAACGAAATCCGTCAAAAGAGCATAATGAAGTGGTGCTCAGGGAATGCATTCATTCATTCTGCTCCCTTTGAAAAGTCCTTGTAAAGCCCATTGGAATCTTTGTGAAACCATGCTGATCCCCCGTAGAGCAATCTTCGTCAAAGTCAGAAGCCTGATGCAATTCGTTTAAATTGGCTAAAGCATGTCTCCTACCCTGGATGTGGACTCCTTGTGTAAGTCCCCCACACTCCCACACCACTCACATGAGGCTCCTTGCCGAGGGGAGGCTACTGGAGGCGGCTGAGCGCTGTCAGGTCGGAATCGCCAAGTTCCCTGGATGGTCAGGGCCTGACTGTATACGATAAAATCATACTTTACTATATCGTAACACTGTATGGTCATCCTGATTTATCTAATACTGTACTTCAATGTAGAAGCTAGGGAGGAAATTCTATACTTGTTGGGGGCAGTATACGGGACACAACTTTTCAAGACATGGTAGGGAAGACAGGCAACCAATATCACCTTTGCAACGCGCTTTGCTTAAATTACTTCTTTTCGGTGTAAGGGCCATTTTATTGCAGGTCTTATTCTTTGGACATACCCATGCAGTGGTCAAAATCATTTGGAGCTTCCACACAAGCAGCGGCCAACGAATACCATGCCTCAAGGAAGTGTGTATGCTATTGATACCCTGGTGCACCATCACTGGGTGAACATTGGACATAACTTACACTTTTGAGGTACTCCTTGCCTCATGGATTAACAAACCCAGGGTAACAAAGACAAAGCTCAGGTCGCAACCTTGGTTCCTGCGCGGCCTCATACATGATGTGGCACACGAGCATGAGCAGGCCGCGTCACACAGTGGAAGGTGGTTTGTTGGCTACTACAGAGGCCTTAATAATCTGAATCGAGTTTTCCAAAGTTTTTTGCGGCACAATTCTGTCTACTGGGGCTCGGAGGGAAGAATGCTAGCAACTATACTTGCTGCTCTGGTGCGCTGACGGCGCGACGTTCAGGTTGGAGTGCGTGCAGTTGCCTGGACTGCTTGCAAAAACTGGAACCTGACTGAAGCTAAGTTCTGCGCGTAGGCGCAACAAGCGGAAGTGTCAACGTAGCTGAGCCGTAGCTGTGCAACTCAATGATTGTGAGAGCGGATTGTCCAACAGACTTGAGATTGCAAGCGGTGCCTGTTTACCTCTTACCTGGCGCCTGGCTGCAATCATTGGAACCCTGCCAAAGTGGGGAGTTCCACCCTGCACGGCGCCATGCTATCAAGCAAGAACCTTCCTACATCAAAGTTCAGTGTTGCTGCACGATCCAAATTTGGAGACTCCCGATCAGGTGGCGCAATGCATGGAGAGGGTTTTGGAGTTGGATTCGAGCAGGGCAGATGCATGGCCCCGCGACGCAATTAGCAGCGGATTGCTTGGTTGCGCGAAAAGTCGTTTTGCATCAGGTCTGAAGAGCCATTTTGCAGTTCAAGCCTGCTGGAGGGCTTTGTAGCAGTCTTTTGTCGCCAGCCGAAGAAATAGGGTTCATGCTAGTTGTTTTGTAGACAGGCCACGTGCACCCAAAGAGACTGCCACATAGTCTTTACGTGATGGATTCGTGAGCAGCATTCAGTGGATCGTTTGGAGTTTCAGAACCCTACAAGCTTCAGAATACTAGGTATCCGTTGTAATCAAGCCTTCTCAACTCAGGCTGTTCATGGCCGAGTGCGACTACCGCCGCGGCAACTTCGAAGGCGGGAAACTTCCGAGAGCAGGACGTCAACGCAATGGGGGCCACGAAAAAGCAGGAGGGATTAGAGTCCAACAGGTAGCTGGCCTTTGGGCTGAAAGTGGGTGAATGCTCCAGCGCAGCAGCTGTCAGAGGAACATTGCACAAAGACTTGAGAGGTGCCTTCCGCGCTTTCGATGAGGTCTGTCGTTTGCAGCCAGATGGCCCAGCAGCAGAACAGGCGGAACGAGAACTCTTCAAATATCTTGAGGGGGCAGGCATAGTAGAATTTACCACGCCCGACTCCGCGACACTCGAAAGAAGAAGATGCAGCAGTTACTGCATTTTTTCTGTTCCATCAGTTGACACTGACCACAAATTTCAGGCCCTATACCCCAGTCTGGGATTTGCATGGGTTTGCTGGATTTGGCAGGGCAGGGTGCACATGTTGAGATCCCACGGACCCGCGCAGACACAAAGTCAGGATCTAGAATCGTACGAATATTGGGCAAAAGGGCAAACTGGCCTCACCTAATTACTACTACATGAAGCATCAGGAACAAAGAGCAGCAAGACTCACACATCCCTGTTTCGTGTCCATACATGGTGATGCTGCTCATGACATGGGAAAGGACGACGCACATTTCTCAAAATGTTTGTCTTCCAAGTATGTACCCATACAAGACTGATGCAAGCCAATTTTGGACGCAGTTTTCCTTGCATGCGAAGAGCTGGGCTGGGGAAAAATGCCATCCTTGTTATGCCAAAGCAGCCACCCTCAATGTCCAGAATCCGCTATGCTGAAACAAACCTTCACCATGGACGCCGCCCATATGTGTATACAAACACTTAAACATTGAATGCTGATGAGTTTAGGATGCCTACGCCGGCCCTGTCTTGCAGCTTTGATCAAGAACTTTACCAGAATTGTTGCCTTGTGCTGCTGTATGGTGAACCCCCCACTGTTCGTGCCTGCCTGCAGTGCGTTCCGCATCCTTTGTTTCCAGCGCTGCCCACGCTGCAGGCGGAAGCTGACAAGGTGCTTCTCCGGCGAAATCTCCGCTGCGTGGTGTTGACACGGACCTTCGAAGCAGAATGTTCGTCCCCGTGTGAGTTCTGGCCGTTTTGGGAGTGAGTTTCAGGCAAGCTTGCATGCATATTTGAGTTTGAGTCGTGCATGTGGAAGGGAATTCTGGGCATGAAGACCGGGCAGTCAGATGGGTTGACTTGGGGGCCTAGAAGTCCAAACCATGGACCAGGAAACGACTTCTCTGTCTTTCGGGTCAGGGAGGCAGTCACCCGTGCATCTATCATATGAGCCTTCAGGATAAGCAAGAGTAAGATAGTCCTCCATATGTTGATCATGCAGCTTCTGCATGGCTGTGAAAGCCCTGGGTCATAAGCTCCTGTAAAGAAACAAGGGCTTCACATTAGCCACATCAAGCCCCAAAAACGGTTCAAAACCATAAGCTTGTTTTGCGGGAGTGAATGCTTGTGCACTGATCTGCAAATTTTGAGCGTTTGGATTGGGACCCTTTCCTAACAGTGACATTCTGCAACATTGTCAGCACCTTTTGCAGGAGTTGCTGCAACAGGGATCAACAGTGCCACATGGCATCCTCCACCAATGATTCAGACGAGGAACATTTGGCATCGCGACTTGGCGCAGGCCTTCTGCCAACAGAGCTGCAGCTCGGCAGCTGTTTGGTTAGAAGTTTGCGGGCAGCCTAGGTGGTGTTCGGGGGAGGAATGTAGCGGAGCCTTGCAAACCCTTTTTGGCCTATCTACTCCATTTTGGGCCCAGCTGGTAGTTCAGACTTGACGCATGCGATGCGCAGGCATTGAAAAACTGAAGCCGAGAAGCCCGAAACAAGAAATGCGCGGAAACAAGGGGGAA